GGAAAGGTAAATTTTCAATGAATTGATGCAAAATAGGTGTAGGATCACTAATCCAGAGAATCTCAAGAGTAACATGATCAATCACTAATATAATAAAATATATAAAGCAAATTAAAGGGGAATCTAACGTCATTTTCTTTGCACTTTTGGCGCAGTTACTACCACTAAAATAAAATGGTTTATTACGTCATTGTTCTTCAAAACTCATTCCAATAACGTGTAGCCAAATATTCTTTTCCCCGGACATGTTTCTTCCACCTTTCTCCTTCTTCGTACAAAACAAGCTGAAATTTCATAAAAGAAGAAGAAAACAATCATTTTCTGTTATAGTTCAAGATGAACTCTGCTGAATATATATATATATATATATATATATATTTATAAATAAATAAATATACTATATTTAATTGGAAGAAAAAAATGAAGATAGGGTGAGGCAGGTCAATTTTAGAGAGAGGGCGTTTCCTGAGACATGATGGTGATGGCAACGTCTGAAAAAGGGCTTTATATGAAAAGCAAATCATTAAGGAAAACCCATTTCAGCCACACTTTCATAAGAAAAATCTGGAAATCTTATTTCATTCACATTATAATTATAATTATAATAAGAAGAAAGGCGTTTCCATTTTCATCTCACAAAAAGTCACGCACCAATGCATTATATTCTCAAGAATCTTCTCTCCTCCCCCACTCCATAATTTTCCATTTGATTCTTACCCTCTTCGTTGTTTTTTCTTTCTTTTTTTTTGCTCCTGTTACTTTGGATTCGCCTACCATTTCTTTTCCTCTCCTTTATTGTCATCAGTATTACCATGTTTGTTAATGATGCAGAGCAGGTGAGCCAAGAAATGGAGGACCTTGATGACAGCACCGACAAAAAGCCTAGGCCTTTGCTTTCTCGGGATGATTCCTTGTGTACCCGGATGAAGAATTGGGCTGATAAAGACTCTCCCCTTGCTAGGGTCACTGGCAGCGATAGAGTTGGTATCCAAACTTCATTTCCTGCAACATTTTTTTTCTGAGAAGAAAGTTGCTTTGATGAGACAGTCTCTTGTAATATTTTTTTTTGGGGGGGGGGGGGTTGATCATGTACGGCAGCAAAAATTAACCGAAACATTATTATTACTACTAGTTTGTTATTATTCGGCATAACTTTTGTTATTTTTTTATTGATTTTGTTATTCTTTGACACTCTACTGAAAATATTAAAAAATATTGATGTTTTAAATAGAAATAATAATGTTTTATGTAATTTTTTATCTGTTTTATTATTTAATTAAAAACAAAACCGATAATATATTTTTTTTAGTTGTATATTAAATGTGCCGAGCCGTAGAACTTCTCATGCTCTGGGTATTTATCTTTTGCTTCAAGTTTAGAAATTTTGTCTCAGTAAATGTGTTTTTGTAGCATTAACCTTTATGAAAAATAGCCAATTTTGGTACCTTCTTCTCTGTGTAGGCACTTTGAACATTACTCATAATTACATTTCTTGATGGATTATCTCAGTTGCACGAATGTTATGTCGGCTTATGATACCTTTCTTCCTATAATGCTCAAATATTGAATATCACCACTATATACACTTTGATATATAGGGTCTAATTAAGAGTATTGTTGAAGTATGTTAAGAATTTAGCTTTATTTTCTATATGGATTTTCATGACATTACACCTTTCTTTTTTTAAGGCTTTATCTCTTCTTAAATTCAATTGTGCTGAGTCCTGCATCGACAAATTCGTATCTTATGCAATCATATCTTATCTGGATAGGACAAAGACCGTTTATTACCATTGACAATGCTTACACAGGTTTCTTTTATGGTATTTTTTTCCTGATAGTCTTGTTCTCATTTTTGTTCCATCAGCTTGAGAGTATATCCGAGGATGCAGTTGCCACTGAGAGAAAACACGACCTGTTGACAAATTTTATCCCTACTCTTCGGTCTGGAGAGTGGTCCCACATTGGGGGTCGTTCTTATATGGAGGATACTCATATATGCATTGCAGACTTGGCTAAGAATTTTGGTTGCAATTTAATGAATGAAGAAGCTGTTTCCTTCTATGGTGTAAGTTGGTAACAATCCTTTTTTCTCTTCATATTGTCCCGTTAGCCTCTCTTGAACACAAACATTATAATTCTCTTAACATATGATTTTATAAAACTAACATGAACTTAGTCTGAAAATAGTTGAACCTTCTCAGCTTTGGCGGTATTGTCTTCTTTCTGTTTATGTTCTTAGTTTAGCTCTACGGTGTGTGCAAACTGCAAGGCAAGGATGACAAAACAGAAACGATACGGAATGAATTTTATGCAGAGTTGTTAAAATGAAAATTTTGCGGATATCTTAGCTGCTTATTTTCTTTTTAAACATGATCTTTAACCTATAGTATCTGTTAGATTGAAACTCATTTTTTTTGGCTAAAACAATGATTTGGGATCACATTAAGAGGGGAAAACGAAGCTCACAAGCATACATATGCATTCTCTTTTTTGATTTAAAAAAGAACAGATTTTTGATGGGCACGGAGGAAAGGACATCTCAATTCGTCCGTGATCATTTGCCTAGAGTTATTTTTGAGGATGCTGATTTTCCCTTAGGATTAGAGAAAGCGGTCATCAGGTCATTCATGGAGACTGATGCTGCATTTGCAAAGTCTTGCTCTATTGAGTCTGCCCGGGCTTCTGGCACTACTGCTCTCACTGCTATGATATTTGGGAGGTAAGCGTTTCTGAAGCCAAATTCAAGATAAGTATAGTTAACTCTTGTCACCTCTTGTTCCCAGTTCATTACTTGCCTCCTTAGTTGACACAACTCCAAGATGCTCTTCCAATTGCTGACAGAAAAATCACATCCAAAGGAAACGTGATCCCTGGTTTCCAAATCTTTGCCACAAAGAACACATCTGCCATCAATTGCCCTGCCATAAGACAGCTTCTGCTTTGTTTGCAATCCGTCTAGCATAGCCATCCAAGAGATAACAGAGTGTCTTGGAATATGTAGTTTGTGCCATATTAATTTCTCACAAGCCACCTTTGCTCTCCTATCCCTTATATATCCCCAGATCTTTCATATTGAAATCCTTTGATCAGCTGGACTAAGCACTGGTTGACCAAGATCTCTCAGCTTCAAAATTCCATCTCTAAGTCCAGTTGCTTCCAGTTGTGGCCTGAATCTCCCAAAAAGGTTTGTTCTTTAGAACATAGGAATAAATCCAAGCAATCCACAGAGATTCTTGCTTGATCAGAATAGCTCTAATTAGATGAATCAGACAAGCTTGGTTCAAAGTCAACAAATTCTTCAAACCAATCCCTCCTTAAGATTTATCTAAGTTATCTTTTAGTGTGCTTAATCTGGTCATTTTGTATGAAAAGATGTCAAAGGATGAAAAGATTTATCCAAGTTATCTTTTACATTATATGGTTCAATTAACACTTTAGGCTTTTGGTTTGCATGAAAAGATGACGTTATCTTTGATAGGTCTTTACTTGTGTCAAATGCTGGGGAATCTAGAACAGTACTATCACGCATGGAACAGCTATAGAGATGTCAAAGGATCATAGGCCCTGTTGCATGAAAGAGAGGAGACGAATCGAGTCTCTGGGTGGATTCGTCGATGATGGTTATCTTAACGGTCAACTAGGTGTCACCCGGGCATTAGGTGATTGGCACCTTGAAGGCATGAAGGAGATGGGGAGAGAACTGGCCCCTTAATTGCCGAACCAGAACTCAAAATGATAATGTTGACCAAGGAAGACGAGTTTTTGATCATCGGTAGTGATGGAATATGGGATGTTTTCACCGCCCAAAATGCAGTAGATTTTACAAGGAGGCGACTCCAACAGCACAATGATGTCAAGTTGTGTTGCAAAGAAATAGTTGAAGAAGCATTAAAAAGAGGAGCAACAGACAATCTAACTGTTGTTTTAGTAACTTTTCTCCTGGAACCACCTCTTCCTTCCATCATACAACGGCCAAGGTTCAGGAGAAGTATTTCTGCTGAAGGGCTGCAGAGTCTCAAATGACTCTTAGAAGGATAAGTCCTATAAATGTTTAATCATCGCTCCATACACGGCGTACAAAGGAGAAAACTAGTTAACTATTATGCTTGACTGTTCTGGTAAAGATCTTCCTGTGTATATACTATATACACTCATAAAAAAAAGGAGTTTCAAAATAATCAAAATATGGAATTATGGTTCGTAATTTGATAGATTTTATATTCTTTGTTTGTGATCATTCATATGGCTTCATACTGAAGCTCTAGGATAATTCGAGAAACAGAATTCGATTTGTGTATCTGTCCACGCTTGATTGTAAACAGAAACAGTTCTGTTAAATATGGCTACGAGCTATCCTACTGATAGTGCTTCGGACATCTAAGATCGGGTGAACTCTGCATCCATTAGAATGTCAATGGAGACATGCCAACTAACAGCATTCCGTAAGCTGTTCTGCATTTTGCCTTTGGGGCCAATAAATGCTTTGCAATTATATCGGAAACAGCTCCATACGTCCAGCCATCAGTGGTTGCACCAGTGAACCGAAAACATTGTCACGAACCAGCATTTACTCATCTGCATGGTCCACCCAAATCTAACTGCTGAGGCCACAACACATGAGCCCACATGTAAGTGACCACTGACCATTCGAACACCAAAATCAGTAAGTTAAATATGGTGGGTCTAGCCCAAAATCCATGGGTGGGTCACTAAATGAGTAAAGAAAACACACAAGGGTCAGTTTACAGATAAGGCTCCATACCTAATTTCATTTAAGACGTCGGTTTTTCTTTTTCATCTTCATTGAAAATCTCAGTTCCCCCTTTTCTGCACTTTTCTTTATGCTTATTTGTACACTTTTATTAAATTCGGTCCGCATCCCGTTTTTCATATATGAGACATCTCCTGTGAAGATCTAAGTTCATTCTCCAACCAATGCATGGTATTAAATCTATAATGTTTGTGATGTTATTTGTGAGTTTTTGATTCTATGGTAAAGTTATAAAGCCTAAAAAGGGTGCATCATTACTCAATCATCAAAAGTGATGGTTTAACAACCAAGTATGATGGTTATAAAATACTATATTATATGTACAAAAGTTCATTCTCTAACCCTAAAAAACTGCAGCATCCCTGGAAAGCCGTCAGATTTCTCATTCCTTTAATTATCTGGAAAACTTTTGATTCTTCTTCTCTTTTTAATATTGTCTTCGATTCCTTCCCCCCCCCCCAACAACATTATTAGTTGTGTATTGGAGGTTTTCTCTTGGCTGGTGAATAGTCCATTTCAGCTATCTCCATAATATCCGCATATTGGTCATGGACCTCGGAAGTTGTCGGCGAACCAACATGGACTTTCTCTTGCTTTCCACCATTTTCTTGGTTTCCTGATTTGACTTTTGAAGTAGGGTTAGCTTTGTTATCTCCACTGTCTTCGCTCTGGATACATGGAGAGCACATAATGTCAAAGAGAATATCTAAACCCTATATTAAGGGGGGGAAAGTAATAAATGCATGAATCAACTAAATACCGAGTCCAATAAATAAATTACTAGTGGTGACTATTAACCAACCTTTGGACCGGTGGCAGATGTAGAAGTAGCAATAGCAGTAGTTGCAGTAAGAAGTTTCCTACTGTTTCCTGCAAAAATGAAAGTGAAAAAAGTTGTCAGTTGGTGCAAGAGACAAAGTGAAACTTTGGTGACTACACCACACATTTCTTTCACAAAATGCTCCATGTAACATATAGTTGACCCAACTCAAGAGGAATTAATCATAGTTTTGAGAAGCTTCTTTGTTGACAAAACTGCTTTGTCAGAATATTATGAGACCTGGTTCTTATGAGACTTTTTAAGGAATATTTACACTAAGAATATGGAATAAAACTGCTCCTATCCAAGGGGAGGGTAAATTTATGATGTTTTGTGCTGTGCCTCCGAGGTCCACAGTAATCTTAATGAATGCTTGGTAGCCAGTACCAGTGGTGTGCTATTCCCCCCCCCCTTTCTGGGTACCTGTACAATGTCCTTCTTTGCAGAATATGACATCTCCCACAACTCCATTACTGCTTTGCATGAAAGCTTCTTCCTGCATAAAACAACAGGTCTACACTTTAAGTAACAGCTCTTTAAATTATATTGAAATGAATGTATAAAAAATGTAGGAAATTGGATACCAACATGCAATTTAGGATGCCATGATGATTTGAAACTTTTCTCCAATCTAATCCCTACCAAAAACAAACAACAAGATAAGATGTCAGAATTTAAAAGATATGTAATGGAGGCCTTGTTGTGTTACAGAGAAAGAATAGCTGGAATTTACCTTGAACACTGGAAAGGAAAATGAACAACACCATAAAAGATACTGCTAAACTGGAAGGCCTCATTTGCAGTATTAAAAACAAAAGCTTGAAAAAGTGCTGGGAAATTGTTAAGAGATCTGATGGAGCTCTGAGAGCAGTAAAAGAAATACGTGTTTCAGTACTCTTTCTTTTCTTCTTGGTATCAGTAAAGGAACTTTGAATGCAAGTCTCCTGATGAATTTCTATACCATTGGAACTGCCTGCCTTTATATATACTACAACTTTGCTCTAAGGACCCACTTCAAGTTCCCATATTATAACTTGTAATTTATAATTTTACATACATACATATATATTATTTTGATACCAAACTTAACTTACAAAATAAGATTATATTGATGAGGTCTAAACTCTGATTTTTAGACGCTAACAAGGATTTTAACCACTATTTTCTTATATAAATATAGCGTTAGAGTTAGCTTGAGCACTATCGATTGATAATTACAATTTTATTTTTATTTTCAAGTATAACAAATACTTTTATAAAATTCTTTTTATCTTAAACTACATTAAATCAGGAGATTTGAACACGTGACCAAACCTTTAAAGGATAAACAAAACCATATTAAAATTTAATTGTGAATAAATCTAATATTTTAATATAGTTTAAATAAAAAATAACATAACTTAATGAATGGAAATTTTAAAATATTCAATATAATTTCATAATGATGTTAATTTATCTTTAGTTTAAATAAAATTTAATTATTTTATAAATAATGTATTCAAATTCGAATCATTATAAATATTTTATCTCTTGATATTAGAACCAATGTTTAAGTTAAACTTAATGAACATAATTTTTTATTAGTTAAAAATAAATATAAGATAATATTTATTTAAAAAATTCATAAGATGAATATATCTTTATAAACGTCATGCTTGATGCATAAAAATTAATAAAAATCTCTCAAATATTAAGACGGTTAGATACGTGCTTAATGAACAAGTTTAAATACGAGATAGAATGAATGGAATTAATTAGACGTTGCATGGTTAGCATTTGAGGGAGACAAGGTGGGCCAAATCCACGTGTCACGGGAAACAAGGGGATTGAATGTGACGGTGACGGAAGCTAGGTTAAAGTCACCTCTTGTGTCACCAAATAGCCTTATAATGGACTGGGTACTTGCTACTTACCGTCTTTAGCAGCCCAATGGTGCGGTCACTCGACGCGGAAGTCTACAATTACATGGAAGGTGATTGTGCCACGTGAGTCTAAGCAGTTCACGTTGCATGTTCTCACTTCGGCCAACCGCAAGGCCAAGTTTCGAGGAAAAATTTAGTCAATTTTTTCATCACTTTTCAAATTACTTTTTAAGTTAAACTTTTTTTATGATATTAAAAACACTAAATAAAACAAATTACATTTTATATCACTTAATTATAGTTTTAATAATAAACAATTCTTCTTCTAAAATTATAAATATACCATTCAATTAAATTTTTCACAAACATTACTTTATAGTTAAAATTAAAATGAATGTCTTAGACATCAAAACTTAAATATTCTATTAATTTATCATAATTCGAAACAAAACAATGAATTTAACTCTTTATATTCGAAAATATTATTAATTTAATCTTTTTGTGATAATATTAAATCAAATGAATCCATCAAATTGAATTAATAGTTGGATAATTATTTATACAATAAAGCAACAACAAATTACCTTTAATTCTCATAACAAGAAAATAATATAACATTTATAGGAGAAGAACGATAATTTAAGAGACGAACAAAAATTAAAATGATAATATTTTAATATGAATGATTGAATTTATTAAATTGTTATTATACTAGACCATGTCACTATCTCATATACTATAATAACATTATAAGCAACGTGCCCTTACCTTTTCGTAGGATATTTTTGAAAGTTTTTACTAATTATATTTTTAATCTTATTAAAAATAATTTTATTAATCGATTATGTGAATTTATAATTTAAAATAAGGTGCAATGTGGACAATTATAAAAAAACAAAATGCCTTATACCAGTTGACATGCAACAAATTGAGTAAATTGATTGAAATGATTGGGCTTCAACAAACAGGGTGTAGATATGAATTCAAATGTAACGAAAGCAAAAGAGCAAGAGAATTCAGCAGACAAAGCGACATCACATGTTTCGAGAACTCGTTGAAAGATATTGGACCGCGTATGGTACAAATGTATGTATGTTCTTCCTAATGTTTCTTTACGATACATCCTATGGTCTGGTTTGATATTTTTAAGGGTAATTACATAAATAGTGTAACACCCCCAACCCGTATCCGAGTCCGATGTGTCACATTGACTTTTCAAAATATTTTTCTTTACAAATTGATTAAAATTCAAATTCAAAATTCGAGAAAATAAATGATTTTCATTAACTAAAACGTTTGGTCTTACAAAACCTATCAGAACATATTTAATATCATTCTCTTAGTACATGCCAACTACAATTAATATAACAATATATATATTTACAACTACTTTTCTGATCTGAACTTCATAAAGGAGATGCTGACCTGTTATGCTCCTCTTAGCGTATCTTTTCGCTTTTCCGGAACCTACGTGTGAAACACTCACACGCTAAATCGATGACTTAGTGAGACATAAATAAACTGACTATGGCATATCATAACTAATTCCTATTATGCACATTTCATGTAATCATGATAAACTATAGAATGCATCCAAACATAAACGCATATATATATATATATACCATTTCATTTTACCTATTATTATTACTCCTATTTAATATATATTATACTTATTACATTTTGTATATCATACACATACATATTGTTTCACAAAGAAACACACATATCATCATATAATTCTGGTCACATATTTCATAACACAAAGCATATAAATCGTATGTAATAAGTTTATTATTATCTCTTTAATAGTCTTATATTCGTTCTTTATCTTTTTGTCATATGTTCTTGTACCTATTCTTCTTAACCAAGCTATATATATATACACACATCATCATATCACATATATCATTTCACATCAAAAAAATTACAAACAAAGCACATAATATTATACAAGGTTCTTTTATATCATCTTCTTTATTAGCCCATGTACACATGTGAGAACTATAGATATGTGAGTCTATAGAGGTTGTGCACTAATGTGTCACCACAACTCGTATAATTGCACCAAAGTGCCACGTAGAATTGCACTGTAGTGTCGCGTAGAATTGCACTGTAGTGCTGCGTAGAAATGCACTGAAGTGCCATATAAGATGTCCCTAAGGACCACGTAAAACATTCTTTAAAAATCATATACATATGCTAAGGATCAAGTATGTGTCTCAAAATACCTCACACATGTTTCAAAGAATACATATATGTCCCGAAGGACCGCGTGGACCCTCGACTCTTGGCATGCCAACTATACCTCTAGCTCTCAGGACATATAACATGGGCAGTAATATTCATATTATTATACATTCACATATTCATATCACATATACAAATAGTCTCATAGCTCTTTCACATAGCTCATTATCAATTTTCATAAGATCACATCCAGTCACGTAGTTCATTTCCATATAATTCACATGCACATATATTCTTTTCCATATAATTACGTAGTCGTATAATATTTCATATGACCTCATATATCACATCACAGAGATACATATTCAAATACTCATAGTCACATATCACTTAAATTGTTCCTATTTACAAAATTCATGGTCATATAGCTTCTATCACAAAGTCACTTATCTTATCTCTTATTCTCATATGTTTATATTTATCATATAACACAACTTTTATTTCATATTTATATCACATTCCTACATCACTAATTCATAATATAGTTTATATCGTATCACCTATCTTGTTCTTTATTTCTGGATATGCACTGATATTACATAACCTATGTCCTATTTATAAACATATATCTTATATTATAGATGCATATCATCACTTTATATTCAAGTTTCCTAAGTGATATATTATTCCCAGTTTATTCTATAATTCAATCTTATCTAATTTTCTTTAATTCTCCATAAATCCTATAACTCTAATACACTAATTCTCATAATTGATCATACCACTATGTATTGGTCTAACTCATATTTCTATTATTCATATAACATTTACACATGTTTATCTAGTTCCTACTGTTCTCAGGAATTCTCTTTCACCATATTCTCTTGTTATTACATATTTTATCTTATAATCATATATTCACATAGTCTTATATTTCACTATCATATAACTTATATTTGTTCTCTTATAACTCTTCATATTCATATATTTTCATTTCCATAAATTCCATAAATCTTATCACATGACTTATCTTTTATACTCATGTAATTTTATATCTATTCTTATATCATCATATAATTTATGTAAACAAATATAATACTTATACCGGTCCCTATATCTTATCACACTAACATATATTCATACAAATCATGACACACATATAATAACATATTACTCATACACTCATAGCAAACACATGCTCAGATTCATGAATTCATGCATAATACTATCGAAAATAGACTTGTCGCAAGTCTTATTTCCATTAAACATCATATAATATCTAATATACACTCACCTGGCCTCACTAGTCAATTCGATCTCTTAACTTTCCCTTCATCGATCTTACTTGCCAAATGTTCCGGAATTGCTTTAAGCTCAAAATCTATATAAATATACATTTTAAGACAATTATTAGATACCTACACCTTGTAATTTGATACTAGCAACTTAAACAACTTAATAAACCAATATTCACATTTTTCCTTTAGGGGGTATCGATACCGTCATTGCATTCTGTAATTTTTCGTTTGAGAATATATCAGTACCTGTTGAATGGGTACCGATACCCCTAACCCAGAAATCACATTTTAAGCACGAAAATTCACCCAAACTTACTTAATTCTTCTTATATAACCTCCTTTTAGCCCTTTAAATTTAACTACACTTCTTCTAGACAACTTATATCACTATAACTCTCCTTAATATTCAATATTCTATCTTGAATTTAAAAACCAAGAATCTTACCAATTTCTCAACATGTTCTAAATTCGTTTCAAATACTTTGAATTTCTTATTTTGACTGTTGACAAGTCAAATTTAACTTTCAACTTCAATTACTAACTCTTTTCCAAGATTTCAATTTTGAACCTCTTATCTTCAATCTCTCATAACTTGATAATCTTTGAGTTTTAAGACATCTTAAGCTTTCCTTATTCTTTTCTATCACTCTAAGAATCAAAACCAACTTTAAAACAAAAGAATTAACCAGCTTGAAACCAACTTACCTTATACATGAAGACACGGGAAGAGAGAAGAAGATAGTTTCACCATCTCCAGACTCTTCTTGTTCTTTTCTTCTTTCATTTCGCTTTCCACGTGTTTAATAACCTATATAAAGGGAAATAAAAATTTTGCTTGTAAAATGACTATAATACCCTTATTACTTTCAAATTTTATTATTACACCCAACATCAAAATCTTTCTATTAAGTCCCTGAACTTTTAATCTTTTATGAGATTGGTCGCTAAGTTTCCAAAACTTCTATTTTGATCACTGACCCGACTTTTGGGATGTTACAAATAGTCATCTAATTGTTAGGGCATTTGTATTTTTTGTCACCAGATTTTCAAATTTGCAATATATTCACTAAACTTTTTATTCTCTTTCATTTAGGTCATTATCGTCAACTGTTACTAAAAAATGATAATGTCACACATTAAAGTCATTTTTCTCCCAAAAAAAACTTCTAGTTTCTCAAACTAATTGGGAATCATCGGTCTACTTTCATCTATGTCACCATTGTCTGGTGTTCTTCTGATCACCATCACTATACTCGATGGCTTGATTATTTTTCCACGAAATTTCAATCATTTATCATAATTTTCTTCATCCATTATTTCTCATTTCCCCTTAAAACTTAAAAGTGTGCTTCATTTGAAACTCATCCAAATTTAACTAAAAGATTCGGCGTGATATAAAGATGGGAAAATTGGATGAAATGATGATGAAGGTAAATTAAAAGTTTAATGATTATATTGTAAATTTTAAAAGTTTGATGACCAAAATACAAATATCTTAAAAATTCAATGACTATTTATGTAGTTTATCCTATCCTTAATTGCTTGAAGTGGTCCAATATCTATATAATGAAGCTTCATTTTCGTAGAAGATTATTAACTAGTCTTAGCACGAAATGGTTTATTCATACGAGCGTAAAAAGTTTGGCCAACGAACAAGCTTAAACCAACAACAGTCGCAACTCAACTTTCTCGTCCCAAAAAGACAACAAAATTTGAACGAATCCTTGATCGAGATGTATAAGCATTGCATTAGCTATTTGACGACATTTGTCTCACCATTCAAAGGCATTGCAACAAAAGCAATCTTTCTTCCATGTTTGAATTAAATTCATCAAACTCTCATGTCCATATAATAATATAGGTAGATACATGGGTTTCTTGCCTTCCCATACCTAGTCTTTCCCCCACACAAGCTCACGTGCTTTGTCGTACATACATTCTCACATGGGGCGGCGTGAGCCCTTGCCTAGCTACTCCTTATATGTGAGCCCATCCTCTTTACAATATGGCGTGAGCGCGCCGAGGAATGTTGCCAATCAATACACCGTCCACCGACACCATCCAATTGCCTTTATGCTTGTTGGAAACACAAATTTTAAGACTTCCCTTTTGGTCCCTCTTAAACGAGGTTAGTAAAGAGAAATGATTTTGTCTCTTTATACTATAAATATATGAAGTACCATCACTCAAACCTAATTGTTTGGCCATGGCACTTTAAATTGCTAAAACGACTGATTCATGTAATTTGGGAGAAGATAATTTCCGTGCATGGCTATGATCGAGTTGATGACTTGTTCACGCTTTTCACACTTGGCATGAGAAGGGGTGAGTTCTAGTCGTATCATAATAAAAGAATGAAAAGGATATAAACTGAAAGCACCCGACCTTTTTCGACAATGGTTATCTCTTCGATCGATGTTGTCTAAATTTTTGTACAAGTTTAGGATTCCTAATCTAAAATTTTAAATACCCTAAATCTGATGCATGAGAAAGTTCTAACTGGCTGTAAATGTCATTCTTGCAGGGATTGAAACTCCGGGCTTGGTTCCCCCATCTCTTTGTTTGGTTAATGGCAGAAATTAACTTTCTTTTTTATCCTCGGATGGATAAATAAATGTAGAGAGAGAGAAAGTTCATCTACTTTTCAATCTTATCATTACAAATTAAAATAATTTTTTAAATTTTTTTAATAAATTTTTATAATATTCCATTCGAACTAAACCAATGAGTAAGAGAAATTGAATTGTATGGGTCAATTGTTTATCCAAGAAAAAGACATGCACGCCCAATAATATTAAAGTAGGCTTTTATACTTATATGAGTGGATTGCAGTTGAAGCCCATTAGTACCATTGCCATTTGCCAAAGCGCCGAATGCTCGGTTTCTCATTTAGAAATTTTTTTATTAATTGTTATGTATGATACGTAATAGAAAATATAATTTTCTTTTTAAAAATATGAATTTTACTCTATAATAATCACAAATTTAATTTTAGGTATATCAATACATTATAATTATAAAAATTCAATAGATAGTTATTTAATTAAATATTTTTTTACTACAATGAGGAGGGAGATATAAAATTATACTAATATTTGAACTTAATAAAGGAGTCTTAACCACTATTCGATAAGGGTGTTGGTTTAATCAACTAAGAAGTAGATCAAGAACACAACAATTAAGTAAAAACAATAATCATAATGAAATAGTCGTCTGAATTGTTTTGGGTTTTCATCCCCGTTTCCTCGTTGGTAGATTTAAAAGTTGTTACATAAACACATACAAGGTGGGGGTAATGCTTCAGCTGGGTGAAGCACTAACTCAAACTCCATGCTCATAGCTGAAGTGTCAATTATTGATGAAGAACACAAACATGGAGACGATGCTCAATTTTAGGATGAATCAAGTGGGTGTTGATCAATCATGTCAAAAAGTTCATCTCCAATCCCAAATCCAAGCATCCTAGCCATGTCGCTCGTTTTCAATCTGGGTTTTGGAATGCCATTATGTTTCAGCCAAGAGTATACAATGAACACCTTTTTCATAATGAACAATTCCAAGGCCTCTGGATTAAATACAACCCCCATTCTCATACTCATCTGCCAAGAAGAAGAAAAAAACCCGCTCATCTATCGATCTTATTATTAGATGGTGCATTTCAAATTTGCAGTACAGATATGGTACCTGGTGGGGGACTAACATGGCAGCATAACGAGCTAATTCCCCGGCTCGCCAGTCCAACAGCACGGGGAGCCAAGGATAGGCAGCATCCAGCCTTACGAACCATAACCTTACATCGGGGAATTCAGACAATTCTCGTGGATCATGTGGATCCTCTCTTGTATAATTAATTGTAAATCCAATTGTCTTTTCCAGATACTCTTTTGGTTCAGCTGGAAACATCAGTGCCGTCATTCATTAATCAAACAACACGATCGAAATAAAAGTAAATTTGTGTCTTTTTTCTACGATCCATACCAGATAAAGGTGAAGTAATTCCTGTAGCCTTCTGAAATGGGGACAAATCAAGCCGGCTTATAGCATCATTATCAATTATTACTTCAATTCGACCTTCACTTGGAGGCATTGGAGGCTCTGCTTGAGTGGAATCTGTTAAGAAACAGTTTCGGATGCATGAATTGCCAGTGTTAATCATGGACAACTAGACCCTCATCTACTTTTATATTCCTAACCACAATCAACCCTCCAATTTCCAGGAATATGGGTAAGTATTTACAGCTAAGATGAACTCGAGACTGAGCTAAAAGTGGGAGCAAAAAACGAAAAAAATCGCAGAATCTTAGCTTGGAACAAAGTTTAGTAATGGAATTCAGATTCTTACCATCCTCATCACCATACAAGGAGATGTCAAAATTTCCGGAAGGATTGAAGGAAACAGAGGGTGAAAGCAGTCCTCTTTGTGGAGTGAAGTGGGAAATAGGCAGAGTTGGGATTAAAGCTGAGATGGGTTTGCATGAAATCCATTGGGTTGAAGAGGGAATGTTATGCTTGAGGGAAGGAGAAAGGGGAAGTAAAGGATTAATGGCAGTAGCCATGGAATGTTATGGTCCGAATGAAGTTTTTATAGTTCGATTATGTTATTTAGGTTTTAGTTTTTTTTTTATCTCAAGCGTCTTGTGCTATCGGCCATATGTTTTTGAAGCTCATATCATATCCGTTGTGTGAGGTTTTTGTAGGATGCAGCTCAATCCTATCGTGTTCCCTGCTTAAAAAAGTTGTTTTGAAGTAACTTATTATTGCAAATGATAAAGTGTTAATGATATTTTTAAAAGTAGAAATTAGCCTCGATATTCAATTTGATATCCTAAGTTTTTTTTTGTCAGTTTAATACTTGATTGAGTTGATGCTGTCATAATCGACGAGTATAAATAAATACGATTAATAATGAATATTATTTAATTAATTTATAAAACATTAAATTGTAAAGTATTAAATTTATAATTATAAATTAATTAAAATTTTAAATATAATTTAATTAAAATACAATTATTAAAACATTAGTTTTTAGGGCCATTGACAGCCTAATTATTTTGCCCTTTTATTTTAATCATCGATTTTTTAATTTTGTCAATGTGGTCACCTAATTATTTAAATCTTGTCAACCAAGCCACCTGTCGTTAAATATTAAAAGAGGAGATGATGTGACAGTTAATAAAAATTGTATAATTATACATTTAGTCCTCATTACTTACACATTCTATTAAGTTGGTATTAGCATTTATTTGATTCAATAAATTTAATCCTTAATTCGATGATAACATGTGTCACAATTGAATGAATGAAAAATAAATTAAATCAATAACCTCTGCTAGTGGGGTTTGAACCTGGGACGTAAGTTGAAAATTTAAACACCCTAACCACTAAGCTATACCACTAAATTTGTGTAATAGACATAACATAATCTATATAATTTATAATATAGTTAATGGTAATAAATGACTCAGACATGATATAATTGAATAGTATGAAAATATAAAATATATATAAACAAATATTATAATTGATTAATGAATGAGTATGTTTTTATTTATATTTTAAATCACATTTAATGCAAAAAATTAAAATAAAAGTGAATTTAACATGTTATAATTGAAATGTATCATTTTTCATATTTTAAATTAATAAATTGTCTTCATTATTTTAATTTTATTGAATTGATATTATATCTTATATTTTAAAAAATTATAACGTCAATCGAACTCTAATCTTATTTAACAACTCTATATTAAAATAAAAATAAATCAATAAATCAAGTTTCCCCTCAAATTTTCTTGAAATATATAATGAATAAATAATTAAAATATAAAATTCTTACTTTAACCAGGATATAAACAATCAAAGCATAAGTTAAAATGCTTACTACGATAAGCCATCAACTATCAGAAAAATTCTAAGTCAACGAAGCTCTTCTTTATATTTCAATTATAATATATTAAAATTGCTTTTATTTTTCATTAAAATGATTTAAAATATAAATAAAATACATTCACATATTAATCAATTATAATATTGGTATATATATTAATGTGTCACCATCTGATTGATGATTAAATTTATTGAATTAATGAAAAGTTAAGACCAAATTAATAGAATGTGTAAGTAATGAGGACTAAATGTATAATTATATAAATTTTATTAAATGACACATAATCTCCTACTTTAATATTTAACGACAGATGGAATGATTGACAATATTTAAATAGTCATATGATCCGATTGACAAAATTAAAAAATTGGTGGTTAAAGTAAAAAGGGTAAATAGTTAGGTGGTCAATGATATAGTTTACCCTAAAAACTAATGTTTATAAATATTGTATTTTAATTAAATTACATTTAGATTTTTAACTAATTTATAATTATATGTTTAGTAATTTATAATTTAACATTTTATAAATTAATTTAATGGTGCTCATCGTTAACAGTATTCATCCACGCTCGACGAGTGTTGTATAATTTTTCGAAGTTTTTAATTAAAACTAGTATATAAATTTAATTTTTATTCAAAGTAATAATTATAAAATGTATTAAATTAAATTTAGGATAAATTACACTTATGACTAACTAACTATTTAGGGATTTTAAAATGATAGTTGGTTTTAAAATTTTGTTAATTAGATTATTTAACTATTAAAATGATGGCAATCAAGTCACATGTTATTAATATTTGACGAAGTTATCGACATGATAGTTAACAAATACATTATAGTTATATATTTAATTCTTGTTACTTACACATTCTATTACTTTTATCTTATTTTTAATTTAATTTAATTTAATAACTTTATTTCGAGTCGTCTCAATGACTAGTGTGACCTTTGAGATTCAATCATAACATCTAAGTTATATATACAAGTTATTTTTTTGTAATTATCTTAGACACCCTTGAACATATCTCATCGTCCTCTGTCATTTTATCTGTGTAGTTTTTTTCAAAATCTTTTTTAGACTAAAAAAATTAAACATAACATATTCATCATCTTTTAGGGTTTATGAGCCTTCTTGAATTTTAGGGATTTTAGGTGTTTATTTGAAATTTGAATAATGAGAAGCATACCTTTAAGAAAATGAATAACATACCTTGAAACCAACCTATCATATGGATATCATAAGAGATCAAAATATTAGAACGCCAAACAGTTAGACAATTTTCATCTATTTTGTGTAGATTACGTGAAAATAAATCTAAAAAGGAAAAAAAAAGAGTGAAATGAAAGTATTTTGACACAATCTTGGTACGAATGACAATCAATGATGACCCAAAAAGACAATGACGATTTTATATAAGGACCAAATTGATACATAAATTAAAATTCAGTACCTAAAATTGAAACATTTTAAAATAACAAAATCGATACATAAGTTAAAGTTAACATAAAAAAAACAAATCATGAAATTGTATTGTTCGAAATTAAGATCTAATACTATAATTAAAATAATTTAAAATTGAATGGTAAAAGTAATACACAATTTAAAATGTGGAATATTATGAGTCATAAATTAGTTTTTCTCCCATGGAGATTTTCCACTTATATTTTAGTAGCGGAGCCATGGTTGCTGACGTTTCTGCCGCTAATTCCACAGGAAAGATAAAAACAAACCGACGAACATATCTGCATTGTATAATACCCAAAGCGCCAAACTTTGCATAAACCACATTTCAGCGATTCGGTGAGTCAATCTCTCCATTTCCCATCCCTTTAATGGCGATTGCTCCACCCTCTCTTCGTCCCCCTCCCAAATTTCTGTTCCCGAAATGCTCTTATTTTTCTCATGAGTTGCCGTTTCGTCCTTCTCCTTCTCTCTATTTCTCTTCTCAACCCTTCCGCTTCACTGTTCGGGCGAACTCAGCAGTCGCTGTGGAGCCGGTAAACACTTTTACTTTTTATTTTTTTCCTATAAAGATCTATTTTTTGGTTGAATTCCCACTAGCTTTGAGCAACTTGAATCGTTGACAGATAAAAAGGCAGATTTTTATAGTAATTGAAAATTTCGAATTAATTAATGAAAGTTTAAGTTGTTAGTTACTTTCTGATGTGCTGAAAACACCATGCTACTTTTAGGTAATACATTACTGAATTTCAAGAGTTTTTCGTTCGCCTGTCCTCTGCTTGTGTTGGATTTTTTTGTTCTTTTTTACCCCTTTGGTATTACTTCTCTTTGCTGCAAAAGTGTCACAGCTGAACCTTAAATAGAGAAGTCAGGATTTAAGAACTCAGCAAAATCAAACAGTGGAAACGGAGTTGGTTTCTTGCCCTGTATGCTATGAGCCACTGATAAGAAAAGGCCCTCCGGGTTTAAACTTGTAAGTTATAGAATATTTAATCTTTGATCATGTTGTTGTATATCAGTCTAATGGGTTTGCAAAACTTGAAGGGATGCCATCTACCGGTCTGGATTCAAGTGTAAAAAATGCAACAAATCATACTCGAGTAAAGATGTATATCTGGACTTGACTGTCACTGCTGGATTGAGAAGCTACACTGAAGTCAAACCAGTTCGCACCGAGCTATTCTGGTATGCCAAGTTAATATATATACATAGATTCACACTAGATACCTTGACACAGATCTGGTTTTGCATTCTATCTTAGAATTTAGGTTAACAGGTAGTTGAAATCCTGGAATTACTATATCTTTTGGAATCTGATTCAGGTAGAAAGATGATCAGCACACAGAGCGAAATGATGTACTAGTCTTCAGATTCCAAATATATCTGCAATCTGATGACGTTGGAATAAGGATGGCTGTAACAATTCTCCGAACACTTGTAGATATTTGGAGTCTTCTTCCAAATCTTTAAAAATTGTAGTTTTGTACGCATCTACACATTTTTTACTCTGCTTCCAGTTAAAAGTAAAAAGCAAGTAATATAAGTAATAACCAATAGAGCCTAAATCTATTATTTCACTAACTCACAATACTTTCTATCAGTTATTAGTTTCAGGATTGTACTAAGTCTCAATTAAGTTAATAGTCCTGAACAATTCACAAGCTGCTACAAGAATGATAATAACCTCAAAATGCACCTCCAACCATGACATTTTGTGGCATAGCTATTGTTTTTTTGGTATAAAGTTATTGTTTCACTAGATCGTGCTTTCATATTTTCTAGGAGTCCTTTGGTATCGTTTCTCTATGAAAGAGGCTGGCGTCAAAATTTTAATCGAAGTGGCTTTCCGGGGGCTGATGAAGAGGTAAACTTTTACCAGTTTCATATCACTTTTAAATTTACCAAAAATGGATGAATAGATCTTTGCAGGTCAGTCCAAAGAAATGGACCCCTTGTAGAATATAAATTTATACATATGCTCATATTGTTTTATGGAACCTCTCAATGAAAGTGGATGACATAGAAGGGTAATGTGTTCCAAGTTGTTTCTTTCTCCCAAGCAAGCTGAATTATATCACCGAAATCCTTATATCATTTGGCTTATTTGTTGAGTTTGCATCATTGCTATTTTTGTCTAACTTTTATGTTTTCAAAATAATGCAGTTCAGAATGGCTCAGGAGTACTTTAAACCTGCAGAAGGTGGCACTTTAGTGGATGTTAGCTGTGGAAGTGGTTTGTTTTCCCGGAAATTTTCCAAATCAGGGACATATTCTAGTGTTATTGCACTTGATTTTTCTGAAAACATGCTCCGGCAATGTAATGGTTTCATTAAGCAAGATGCGTCTATTTCAGCTAGGTAATTATCTTTGCTGCTTTAATTTTAAGGTTGAAGCAGATATCGTTAAAGGTTTTATATTTTGTTTCTTGCCAGGAACTGATCAATACTTCATTGGAATTTGCAGTAATATTGCTCTTGTCAGGGCTGATGTTTCCAGGCTTCCGTTCTCATCCAGTTCTATTGACGCTGTACATGCTGGTGCTGCCTTGCATTGCTGGCCATCTCCTTCCAATGCCGTAAGCATTCTTTTATCTGTCTTTGTACTGCAGTTTTCCTGAAACATTTCCTTGCAGATCTCCCATAATGTTCTTGTTTTTACACCTCCAGGATACATAAACTGACTTTGTTCTTTTCTTCTTTCTGTCCAAATTTGTTTGTCCCTAAAACTGGTTTGATTGGGCAAAATTTTCCTATAATTCATTTGCAGGTCTCATCTAGAGAAAAGAATCAATTCAATAAAGCATCCTTGAATTTGTTGTCTTGTAGACTGAGATGTGAAAAATCCTCGCAGCTGGAGTTTATGATGATTAAATGTTTTTTTTTTCACGTAGCATGCTACTACAGGGCAACTTTACTTCTTCAAGTGTATTGCTATAGCTTTCAGGACCATAGTTACATAAATCGCTCATTTGGCCACGATCTACGTACTGAACGTTGCGATCCAAAACGCAGTACGAACGCGTTCGGATCGTTTCAAAATCGCGATTCGGTACATCGTAGTTTTGCAGCAGGGATAAGAGGAGATGCAATTAGAAAAATAAAGGGATTGGGGGTTTGAGAGAAAAAATCAGAGGAGAATAAGAGGGAGAGGGGAAACCGTTTCAAAACAGCTCCTCGTCGGGGCTGATGATCGATGATCGAAGCCTTTTGGGTTTCCTTCTCAGGTGATGGAAGAGAAGAGGGTTCGAAGTTGCTCGGGTCTGGGGCTGTGAAGACTTTCGGCCATGCGGGTGTGAGGAGTAGAGGATGAAGAAGAGAAGAGGTTCAAAACGGCGCAGGGGAAGGGATTAGGTTTAGCATAAATTATGATCTATTTTTAGGTTAAATTTTAAAGGCTTTAGATAGTTTGGTTAAACACTGTCGTTTAATTGGGGTCCAGGGTGGTCCATTTTTGTTTGCGTGGGTTTATTCCTAAAGGAGCCATGCTCATTTTTGATTCAATTTATTTTAGTCCTTCAATCGGATTTATGCATATTAGATTTTGAGTTTTGAATTATTTTGTTCCTAAAGGAGCCATGCATAATTGATCTCTATCTAAGAAACTGGTACATCGTACCAATTTATATGGTACATCGTACCGGAGCGATCCGAAAGAAGTCTACCCCCGTACCGAATTTTAGGGACCTAGCGAATTGCGATTCCGTTCCACGTTCCCGTACCAAGCGTACCGCGATCCATGTGATTATGTTCAGGACATTTTTCTGAGCTAGAAAATTTTCTTATATGGGCACATGCTTTTATTTATCTTTAGTTTGCTGAAATTAGTTGTATATTGAGAAGTGGCGGAGTCTTTGTTGGGAGCACTTTTCTTCGTTATACTTCTTCTACTCCCTGGATAATACGACCTTTCAGAGAGGTAAACTACAGTGTTTTTGGTTGTTTTTAAAACTTTGTTGCTGTGTATTAGGATGTTCTCCATTTGTTCAGAAAAGATGCCTATTTGTAAAACATTTTAGCATTGGCTAACCTGAGTGCTTGATCAGGCTTGCATTTCCCAATTCCCGTCTCATTTTATTTCTACCATTCACTTTTGCTAATATATATTTGTTTCTAAATGCCTTAACTATAAATAACGTCCCCAACTTATGCAAAAGGGAAATTCCAACTGGTATTTTGATTCCTGGTTGCAGTACCAGAGTTCTATCAGACATCATTCTTAGCTTTCTGATTTCGTTGCAGTTTATAACATTTATTTTAAAAAAATATCATATTTGTTGCAGAGGGTTATGCAAAGTTATAACTTCCTCACAGAGGAGGAGATGGAGGAATTATGCACAAATTCTGGTCTTACCAACTATTCAAAGAAGGTTCAGCAATCTTTCATTATGTTTTCTGCTCGGAAGCCTTGAAGTTGGATTTGGATCATTTGAAGCGTTTTGTTTATGCAGCATTTATTATGATGATTTGTTTTACGATATAATCAATTACACAAATGCAATGTATAGTGAGGTGCATCTTCTTATTAATGCGATGTAAACATTGCCTGCTGAACTGATGATTGTGTAAATACTTGAAAGACTGTATTAGTGCTTCATAATGACATTCTGATTATCTAAATTAGCCTGCTGACTGCTGTTCCCGTTTTGTTACAGATTATTTGCTTCATAATGATCAAGTTGGTGTTGAGATGTTACATGATAACAAGATTAAACACAAAACAGTTACCTGAGACGCCACATGATGACTTGATTAAAGATTTGATGACAATGGAAATTAAATTAGAGTTGAAAAACCTTGGAGGATGAATTTATTTGAATGTTGTAATTGGAAGAGCAAAAAAAAAATGTTGGATGCAATAGTTAAATATCTAGAATTTTATTTGTAGAATTTTTATCATCATCAATAATGTATAAAGTAATTTTCCAAAAAAACTACAGATAAAACGAAAAAAGAACAAAAGAACGTTGGATGTAATTTTTTTATTAAAATGATTATAAAACCGTGTTTATTTTAAAATAATATAAGTTTTAAAGATTTTTAACTATTCAACCATTTGAAAATGGAAACAGCGCCCACCTACTTCTCAAATACTCCCATCTAACTTTATTATTTGAACATGGAAACAGCGCCCACCTTCTTCTCAAATATTCCCATCTAACTTTATTTTTATCTCTCTTCCTTTTCCCGGTTTCCAATTCCTCCCCATAGCCATATCCCTACTATATATTCACAGGATATTGTGGATATACACCCCTTTGTGAACGTCCATCATTATTGATCTTATACCACCATCTCTTTCTCTATTCTTTCGACTCCACACTCAGGATAACTGCTGCTACTCAAGCACAAAGGATATCTTCTTTCAAGTACTCTTAATATTGACGATCTTGGTTTGTCTTACCTATCTATCAAAGCTCCCTTAAGTCTTCTTTTCGTGGGTTATTGAAATCATGGTTCGAATTTCTTGTGATTTTTAGGGAATTCAAAAGCCTGCATGGCTGGAAGCCATCTACACGAATAAATTCTTCGTGGGGTGTTCATAAGATTACCATGAGACTGCAAAAAAGAATGAAAAGAAGTTGTTTCGTTTGGATCGTTGCATAAGTGTCTGCCCTCACTGCGTACCATCACATAGTTTCCACAGGCTTCGTCAGGTTCGTCGCTACGTCTATCATGATGTTGTCAGATTAGAAGATCTTCAGAAGCTTGTGTATTGTTCCAGTGTTCAGGTTTGTTATTCATCAATTTTCATCAAGTACAAACCCACTTCGTACAGAGTTTCTGATTAATGATCATAATCCACGCCCTTAATTGGATTAGGCAGACAGCCAGACACTATAAACATTGCAAAAGTAGTGTTCATAAAGAAAAGACATTAGAACAGGCAATTCAAAGGTGCTGGAAACTACTGCACTTCATATGACAGAAGTCTCCAAGAATCATTCATCCATTGCTCTTTGGGGGTGCAAGGTGAGATATAATGATTGGAATTTTTAAAAAAACTTGGATTTTGAGTTTGATGAATCAGTCAAATGAGTTTAAAGTTTAAAACCCTTGGATTTTGTCAGCTGGATTATGTGTTGGAACACTAAAAAACGAGACGCGTAACCCATATTTCATGATCCCGCAAGACTTTGGAAACGACGAATTGACAAACGAGACGTCACGTTCAACGATAGTGGACGATGATGAGCCAGACGTAAGATAGATGGGAGAAATATTAGGTAAGTTTCACCTCCATTTTAAAGGTCTTATTTTACTCGGTTTCATTATAGTCAGAATCTATTAAGATCATGATAAAAAAGGGGAAGAGTTGGGGTGGTTTAAGAGGCGAGGACCTGATGACTGTTAGCAGGCGATTAAGCGCACCCAATGCGGGCCTACAACTCCTCTAGCGGGACAGAACTCGTAGGGCATCAACGTTTCTTTTTTTAACCACACGGGGAAACTCTAGAGAAAAACCACTGTTATAACCATTTTTTTAGAAAAATAATTAAATATTATTTTAAAAATGATTATGACTTTAATTTGGAAAAGTTGATGATTTTGGATTAATTTGGATGAAATTGGATAATAGTTGCCATCGACATTTGGGTTAGGTAGGTCGAATACTCAAAAAACGCATTTTAAAATAATTTTAAGAAAAAAATCATTTTTTAAGACAAAACTAGTCTGTGTTTACCAAAGATTCGTTTTAAAAAGATCCGGGAGTCGGTTACGTGTATAAAGTTAAAATATGATCCATTTATCGAACATTGATTAATTTACTTCGAATTAAATAAATAGAGAAAATTCTTTAATTCGAAAAGAAATCTAAAAATTAGCAATCCTTCATCGGGAAAGCTAACTCGAATATTTCTTATCAGTATTAGAATATTCCCTCCCCATTGATATTAAAAAACACGAATCAAATATAAAATGGAGAATCGAAATTTGCGTAAAATAAACTGTTATTTAGAGAAACATGCAATGCATTGTTCGATTTAAAACATGAAATGAATTAATTAGCAAAATAAAATTGATTTCAAGTTAACATTTTGTTAAAATGCCGTATCGGATCGCATCACTTCGACCAAGTGAAACTTTTCATGCTCATTCTACAAATCGGTGTTTTTGAAACTATTCGAATATCATATACTAGATAAAGAAACATAATGGAAATAAATATTAAATAAAAATAATATATAAAAAAAACAACAACATACAAATGAAATAAAATAATAAAAAAACAACATGCATTTATTTAATAATCATGGATAATATTTATTTAATAAAATACATCATATTGTGAAATATTCATACATAGGGGACTAGAATAAAAACAGAAACTTAAAGGACCTAAAATGGCAAAAAACATAATCTTATGGACTAAAACAGTAAAGACATAAACCTAAAGGACTAAAATAGCAAAAAATATAAATTTAAGGACCAAAATACAAATACAGAAACTTAAAGGACTAAAATAGAAGTTACAAATAAACCACAACCCAGATAGCAAACATTAAAAATACAGGTACTAGAAACCAAAATAACCCAAAAATATCATTAGGGACCAAAATAAAATAAGCTAGAAACATAAGGGATCAAACAGTAATTAAACCAACTTCCATATGATGACTAAATTACAATATTTACAAATATCGTGACCAGAATCAAATGTTAACAGAAATAACATAACAAACAATAACAATACTAAATTATAAGTTCTGAAAACTTAATGCTCGAAATCAAAGAAATTAAAACTTCATTCAATGGTTTAATAATATGATTACAAAACCCTAGAGACTAAATGTGTAGTTAACCAACACGCAGAAGGTCCCCTTAGAACGACGTCGTTCTGCATTTAATATATATATATATATATATCATTTTATAAACCCAAAACCCCATCCCTTCTCATTTTCCTCTCGTCCAAAGAAAACAGAAGGGAGAGAAACTCTCTCAACTTCCTCTCATCGGGGAAAAAAGGGCCGCCTCATCTCGGCGGCTCCCACGGTGGCCGGTACGGCGTGCCCGGCAGTCGGAGGGAGTAAACAGTCTCAAAATATTCCCTCCTTTACCCTCAACCCGAAAACCACCCCACCTAACCTAAACCCGACCCTAAACTCTTAGATCTAAGTTATACCTTTCAAGTATTTTGAACGCCGACGACCCTCGGGCTTCCACAGATTGCTTTGAACTCCGGTATGCTTTCTCACTCTATTTCCTTTTTTGTGTTATTTGTTTTCGGTTTTTTCCTTCTGGGATCCCTGAATATCTCTCACTTTCTCCCTGTCTCCTTTTCGATTTCTCTCTCTCTCTCCCCCCCCCTTCTCTCTCAAAACCCGAATGCCTTCTTTGTCTTCTCATCTTCCTTTTATGTTATTTTCTCCTCTCTTTGTGTGTGTGTTGCGATTGTTGGCTTTTGATGATATTTGAGTGCCTCCATGTAGGATAATAATATCCTTGAATTATAGGATGAGATTTTCTGACTTTGATGGATTATTAGTCACTGTTTGATAGATGTTGTCACTGTTTTGGTGCAAATTTTGTCGACGACGGTAGCGTCAGGAGCGGCAGCGTCAGGCAACGACGGCATAACCACCTAGGGTTATGATGAAACCCTAGGTTAGTCGGGTCGGACTGGGCTTGGATCAGGATAAGTGGCTATTGGATTGGGTCACTAAGTAGTCTGGGTTGGGTCTTGTTGGACTGCTGAGTGGTCTGGGTTGAATTTGGACTTGTATGTACTGGGTCTGATGCTGTAATGGGTCACTGGGTTGCTGGGCTTATTGGGCTTCGGGTAAAGCTTACAAAATTTGTAATAATAATACTAATAAATAATAATAATAATAATAATAATAAATTAAAATTAAATTAAATAAAAAAGACCCGGACAAAAACAGATGTCTACAATCCCGCATAACGAGGGTGACGTGTTCAAAACCGATTATCGAGGCCAAAGCGGCCCCTACCACCCTTTGAAATGACGAATCTAACCTCTTCTTAATAGGCAGATCATAATTTCCTTACAATCGATGTGGGAAAACAATTCCTTACAACGTTGAGAACTTTTCTGCAAGGGTCGCTAATGGAAAACTCAAGGGAGATGACGCCCGACACTGTTTCCAGCGATTGTTTCCAGAGGGGTTAGAATGCTGAGATTCTCCACCTTGATGAAAACGGGAATCTGAAAGCTTAATATTTTGACCCGAGTGCGCTTAAAAAAGCAAGCTGACAAGATGGGCATTACTACGATGGAGCCATGGCTGATAATTTGCCGAGTTTTTATTTTCTATGCTTTTGACATTAAATCTCTTTCGCAAGGTTTGTTTGAGAAAGATTTGAACCAAATCAAATGATTATTCACGGTTCAGCACCACTAAAGAAAACCAGCCCCGTATATGGCGTGGGCTTGGCAATGGCAAAGCAGCGAATTCCATGTTTCTTGCTGGCACGGAGACCAGAAGATGTGTGCTAGTGAT